CCTGCAAAACTGAAAGCACCATCAGAACGCTCAGTATTTCCTCCTCCCAAGAAGCTCCACAGTTCTTTTGAAGCCCTGCTAGCCTAGAAGATATTTTGGATGGGTTATCCTCGCGCGAGGCTCTTAGCCACACAAAAGCTTGACTCTTTCTGTGCCATTGTAAGGATTCTCATTCGCGAACTTCAATAAGCCCTCAAAACAAATATTCCGTTGGGATGTGAACTGAGTATAAGCATAATTTGGTTATCATCGATCGATTTGGTCCGAGTGTGCGCCGTGCATTACGCTTCTACGCAGAGGTGGTGGAAAGGTGTAACTTCTGATTTAGGTGATTTTTGTCCATGCTAGCAGAGTTCTGTTTAGGGTTTGGAAAGAGCGATACGCACGAATCTGTTTGAGATGTATTATTTAGTCATCTACACACTTACGAGTCCATGCTAAGTATTGAAATTGCTAGTCAATTGATATTGATATTTTGTAGTCTTCCTTACATTCGGGTCCTCTGCTGCTTCCCGTCCGCTCCATCAAACTTAGCGATGACTTTTTTGTGCTGTTTGGTGCTCACCGACCCTGCGTTTACGACCCCCCCCCCTATGGGCTTCACACAACGATGCTGTACCCTGTGCCCAGTAGCGCGGCTGAACACGATTATTTTGTTGCATCACCCCACCCCCTCCCTCCCGAACATTCTCGGAGGGAGACCGCGAGGACGCAAAGCGTAGCCTAGTCTCGCTCCTAGTTACTAATTCATCTCCAAAACTGTACTTCGGAACTTTACTTACTGTACTGGAAATGTACTTCGAAAAAGGCTAGTTGAAGTGATCGTATGCACAACAGACCACTAAACATTTTCTAACTAACCCCTTGAATCCCTGCCGGAGATTTGACTGCCGCATCTGTGCCACCTCCCAGAAGACCACCAAGTACCACCTGAACAAGTAGATCTTTGCGTGTGAGAGACACGTTCCACGCTGATCTTATGGGTGGAATCACATGGGCACTGCGCTGTGCTCTTTGTTCTAAGAAGCGAAAGAGGAGATGCACACAATTATAGCTCCACCCATACGACCAACGTGGGTTCCCTCCTAACCAAGAACCAAGCTATGCATTCTAACCACGTTCTGTACTGTAGTTCGGAACGGGTCGGAAATGTCAAGCTGCCATACACATCCATGTAACCATCCGGCCACATAGGCGAACTTGTCGTCCATCGATATAACAAGATCTGTAAGAAGTGCCGGCATCTCGGACGCCAGCCAGTTCTCCACCTGCAATCACCAGAATACTAGATGAATGATAAAAGAAATTAATGAGGCTTCTGGTACTGGTTATTCTCTCTCAGAAATGCGGTACTGTGGCTTGTGGTACTGTGCAGTCAATACGTGCCAGCAACAAAAATGCGTGGGCGCAGCAAAAGCCAAAAGACCGCGTTCAGACTTCGCGATCCAATCGCTTGAACGATCCGATCGCGAAGACTGAACGCGGACTAAGTGATTTACGCCGCGAAACTGACCACCTCGAAAAGAAACTCAACTAATCCCTACCGAGACCGCGAGAGAAGGAAATCATGGCTCACACAGGCATATTCCTACTGACCATGGGAATACTTGCCTGTATTGCATCAATTTGAAAGACCTTATCAGCAGTCCATTTGCCAGTCAGTGAGTTCATGTAGAGGTGAAATACGGACGAGCCAACAGCTGAGCAGGTAAAAGCATGATTGCACTCTGGATTGTGCAGAAATCTGAACATTTATCTTCAGTCCCGGTGTGAATATCAGATATCATACAGGCATCAAAGGCAATATTCGTGATGATCTGAGACGTTGTGTCTTTTCGATGCTTACGGTAAACACTCTCCTATGGTACACCGGCTTCTCACCCGGAACTGGCAAGGGTGTTCAGATCTCCGGTTGGTGGGAAACATCGCTCACTGTCAAACGAGCGTTCAGACTTAACGCGCTTTCAAGCGCAGCAACACGCGTTGGGGGTCGTATTTGGGCTGAGAAAAATTTATTCTTGATAGTTGATTTTTCTCGCTTCACGGACGTTGTAAGAAGGGGGAGGGGGGGGTCGTACTTGCTCACTGTTGGGAAGAA